ACTCGGACACAAATTCACTTTTAAACGTTTTAATTTAATATCCTTGAAGTCACTACCGTGGCTTCTACGGACGCTGAGAGCGCCGCCACCAAACGACGACGGCCGGCTGAAATCCCATTTCAGAATTTTAATCACAGTAAACCGGGCCCAACTATCACGGCATCTGTTGTGCGAATTAAAAACTGGAAACTTCGAATTTACACTTTTATTATCGTTATAAATATTATAATAATAATTATTATTATAATTATAATTATTATTATCATTATTATTATAGTTATATTTGTTGTTGTTGTTAAAATGGTAACCATCATAACCGTCAGGTTCGAATCCCAGTTTAGCATCCATATTATTATTATTGTTTTTATTATTATTGTAATTATAATAATAGTTATTATTATTGTTGTTGTTATTATGAAAGGTGTACGTGAGGTTGGACAGTGACCTGACCTCCAGGATGGCGAGGGCAGTGCTTACCTTGACCTTGAAGTTTGACCTACAGGTCTGGAAGAGGGCGAATCTGATGTAGATGAACAAGCCGAGGGCTATGTAGCTGAATCTGTACGAATGCATTTACTGGTCTATGGGGCTTAGGGCTTTGATGTTGATGATGATGTTGTTTGTGATGATGATGATGATGTTTGTGGTGATAGTGATGATGATGATGATGTTTGTGGTGATGATGATGATGTTTGTGGTAATGATGATGATGATGATGATGATGATGATGTTTGTGATGATGATGATGATGATGTTTGTGGTGATGATGATAAGGATGATGATGTTCGTGGTGATGATGATGATGATTTTTGTGATGATGATGTTTGTGCTGATGATGATGATGATGTTTGTGCTGATGATGATAACGATGATGATGATAATGATGATGATGTTGTTGTTATATTAACGTTACAAAATTTTTTCATTTATAATTCGCCAAAAGGTGAATATAATTATCCAAGCTATTTCTACTCGCTTCGAACTTTCAAGCAGTTGAAACTTTTAAAACAGTTACCGAAGTTGTTGTTGGCATTATTGCTCTTGATGACGTTAATTTATGACGTGATTGTGACGTCATGACAATAAAGATGACGTAGTAGTAGTAGTAGTAGTAGTAGCAGTAGCAGTAGTAGTAGTAGTAGTAGCAGTAGTACTAGTAGTAGTTCTTTTGTTGTTTTTGTTGTTGTTATTGATAACGATACTGATAAAGTTGTTGTTGATAACGAAACTGATAAAGTTGTTGTTGTTGATAACGATACTGATAATGATGTTGTTGTTTTTCATATAATTTTAACGTAACTACCGCGACGCCATTCAATCATTAATCCAAGCAGTATTTTTAACGCGTGAACCAATGGCAATGGAACATTTACACACACAAAAAATAATAACTAATAATATTGAAATAATATAAAATAGTAATAATAATATTAGTTACAATGTTAACATTAATAATAATAATAATATTAATAAACCAGATTTAATAATTATAAACTCTCTCTCTATATATACATATATATATCCGTAAAACCACCAACTATTTAAAGTTACCAATGGATAAATATAGACAAAGGATATATAGAGCCTGTATATATATATATATATATGTATATATATATATATATATATGTATATATATATACATATATATATATATATATAGAGAGAGAGAGAGAGAGAGAGAGTTTGTATATATATATATATATCTTTGAATATGTATATTAAATGATATTATATATATATATATATATATATATATTATATATATATATAATATTTAAACTAAACAGAACATTAAGTTTACTGTCACAGAACTATATGTATGTATTTTGGCTAAAAACGAGAAAAAATTTTAATGTTGAATTTATGTATGTGTGTTTGTGTGTGTTTATGTATATATATATATATATATATATATATATATATATATATATATATATATATGTGTGTGAGTGTGTGTGTTTATGTGTGTATGTGCACAGTAAATATGGTACTCACAATTTTGAGTAATCCACGATGTTAAATTTAATGGATGGCATTAATCATCGGCGTTTTTAACGACTAGCAAAATGTTTTTTGTTAACGCATAACTCGCTAAACCTTATATACAAGTGTGTGTGTGTGTTTGTGTTTACGTGCGTATGCGTGTGCACGCAACAACAACATCAAAATTGACTTTCTGACAGTTCGCAACAATTCAATGTTGTAACGAATAGCGAAACAACAGAGCAAAATGATGCTGCGCATTCGTATTGCTACTACATCTGATACCATCAACCACTTCTTAAACTTCTATCTGTTACTCTCACTTTCACTATCTCTCTCTTTCTCTCTCTCTCTCTATTTATTTATCACTTCTCTCCGTTCATTTGTTTTTCTTTTATTTTTTACTTTCTCTTTTTTTTCGTTTTTCTTTTTCAATTTTTCTTTTCGTTATTGTATTTTCCTTCTTTCTCACTCTTTTTCATACCCTTGCATACTCTTATTTTTCATACTCTCTCTCTCTCTCACTCTCTCTGTCCTCTCTCTCTCTCTCTTTCTCTTTCTTTCTCTCTCTCTTGATTCGATAACGACAAATGGATGACGTCAGATATGACGCAATAATTTTGAAGTGACGTGAGCGAGTCTGACTTTTTCCTCCATCAAATTTGTTCTTTCAAATGTTTTTATTTCCGTGAATTTTTTCCAAATTGATTTTTTTCAAAATAAAACACACACACACACAGACACACACACACACCTACATACATTGTTGATGAGGATGATGGCGAAGATGTTGATTAAATTTTTTTTTGTTCCAAACTTTTAACGATTTATCATGTTTTCATTGTTTTTATTATAATTTAATTTATTAATATTAACATTATTATTTTATTATTATTATTATTGTTACAATTATTATTAAAAATATATGAAAAAATTGACCTTCAAGATGCACTGAGGTATAGATATCGATTGTATTGAAAACAAGAACAAAGAAAATTTATAAAAAATTTCTTAAAAATAAAAAAATAGATAACAATAATAACAATAACAATAATAATAATGATACCAAAAAAACTACAAAAACGGAAAAGGAAATATGATAAAAAATTAACTGATCGGCAAAAAATACGGAGAGTTCAATTTGCATTTTAATCTTCCTCTCCTTATCTGCCCTACGGGCAACTAAGTATACACACACACACACGCACACACACACACACATACACACCTGCACACACACACACGCACACATACACGCATCTACGCATATTGTACATAAGTCATGTGCATACTTATCTTGAACTATCATCTTGAATTTCATGGCATATGTTTCGTTAAATGACTGTGTATGTGTGTGTATGTTTGTTTGTATGTGTGTAATGTTTATTTGTATGTGTATATATTTGTATGTTTCGTTTTGTTTGTTTAGGTCTGTTTGCTTATCGGTACTACCTTTAAATTTGTAAAAGCAGCAATAGCATTAATAACAACAAAAATAACAACAACAAAATAATATGAACAATAACAACATTAGACTAATCACACTCGTCATTTCGGGTACATTTAAAAACCATTTAAGGTGCCATACACTTTCTAAATCGTTAATATAGAACTATTTTTCATTGAAGAATGAACGATATATGTGCATATAATGCATACACACATTTATACATAGCTACATACAAAAATACATACATACATACAAACAAACATATAAACATACATACATACATACAAACAGACAAACAAACAAACATACATACATATTTGTAGACCTGTTTATTGTATATCTAATTGGTGTTGACAATCCTGAAGAACACTAAAAAATCTGTACTCAAAGATGAGTGTTTTCGTTTGTTTAGCATTTTATCTCTATGTTTATGATTTTGTATCAGCTATGTTTACGATTGTATATCTACGCTAACGACTGTGTATCTATGTTTATTATTGTATATCTATGTTTACAATTTTGTATCTACATTTAAGATTGTGTGTCTATGTTTACTGTGTATCTTGTATCTATACTTATATACGTGTATCTATATTTTTGTCTTTATATTACATGTCTATTTGTGTGCTTTTAAATTTTAGATTAATATTGTTTTATTGAAAATATGATTTATAATTATCATCATCATAATCATCAACCTCATCACTACCACCATCGTCATCAGCAACAGTAGTAGTAGTAGTAGTAGTAGTAGTAGTAGTAGTAGTAGTAGTAGTAGTAGTAGTAGTAGTAGTAAGAGTAGTAGTAGTAGTAGTAATTGTATACCAGCGTTCTTGCGTGTTATATTATCAGCTAAAACTATTTGAAACATTTTTCAGGCATCCATTTTTTAAAAAATTAGGCAAATAAATTAATCTAAATACTTACGGTATAGGCACAAACATACATTCATATTTAATTCTATTGATTTATTATTATTATTATTATTATTGTTATTATTATTATTATTATTACGCGAGTCATTGATGACATTACATCATTCAAATTTTGCACTCCAAAATGTTTATCTTGGATTTCGTTGTCATGCTGTATACAAGTTATAACAATAGATGATGATATTGTAAAATTTAATTTAAAAAACTTCGGCTTTGACTGACTATTCCAATTTATAAGGAAAATGGCTCAAACTATTAAAATTGAAAAGATTACAATCATTTAAATTTTTTTTACATACATGCATGTATGTAGGTTCATCTAAACTCATCTGTTGCTAATACTATTATGAATGATTATTGATCGCAGACAAACAAATGATAAGAAGTACTTTTTTGAAAATTTCTCGGCCAGTTTTGTTTCATAAGAAAGAAGGTTGATAATTGAATGTTTGTCGAAGTACTGTAGATAAAAAATAATCCTTATTATTAAAAGCAGGAAAATGATTTTGTTTGTAAAATAATTCGTTTCGATAAAGAATTTTCTGTTGGTTTAGTTTTTTTTTACTAAACAATTATTTAATTTTATTTTAATATGGAAAAATGTTTTCATAACGACTAAAACTAAATTTCTAATCGAGTGAGCCTGCGTCTGACTGGACGTCTTCATGTTCTTCACGTTTTTCATCATTTTCTTCTGTTTTCTGATCATCTTTACCTGCATTTATCATTTTCTTCCTAATGACGAGTTCAATCATGAGGGTAGTTAGGAACACTAGAACCAAGCTACCTGCTAAGAAGTACCAAAAATAATCATAACTTGTCGAGATCACTTCATTCTTCCGGAATGTTTCATTCGGATTTCCAACTATGGTCAGTGTTGTAGTGACCAGACAACCACAGCAGATGGTCTTCCTATTTCTTTCAGTCACTTCCTTACAGATTTCATTCTCACATCTTCCATTAAAAAGATCGCATCCGGCTTCATACACTTCCAACTCTGCAAGTGCCGTAGTGCTATTACCAAACTTATCATCTGATTGTTGGATGATGACGAATCGTGAAAGCAAACGAAAGTCTTCACAGATTACAACCATGGGATTTCCACACCCCAGTGCTCTTTCTGGTCCATATCCGCAGAAGTTGGTTTGGTTTCTTATGTCGGCTATGGAAGTTAGGTCGAAAGTTTCGTTCAGCCTTACTGCAAATTTGTCCATACGCTGCACGACAAAAGGTTCTGAGCCCCACCTGTTATAAGCCCTCACGAAACCAACAGGGTAGGAATGGAATAGGTCAACGGCCAGCCAGGCGGACTCGTCAAAATCAATATGGGATAAATGATGCCCATCGTACATGCCGTCAGTTAAATATGATGGATCATATTTAAAATCATCATGATGAGAGTATTTTGAACTACAATAGGACGGCTTGTTCAGAGCTAAATTTGTTCTCATAACCTCGCACTTGTTCCACTTGTTTCTAACAGTGTCGAGTGGGCAGACACATTCAACGTACTTATATTTGTTCACTGTCAGTTGCGTGCAGCTCATTTCACTGCCACAACCTCCATTCCCTACTTTACAATTTCTTTCTCTGCACCAATCCCCTTTCCATCCGTATTCACATCCGTCGGAGCACTTCGTTATTTCGTAAATCTTGTATTTACGGTTGTTGCAGTGAGAATAAGTTGACATTCCTCGTTGGAAGTCGTATTGAAAGCGAGTTGCGAATATTAATGTTTCGTCTGTAACATTATTAAAACAATCGCAGATTTGAGTTTCGATATGTGAGCATTTCTGACAAGAAACAAATTTTGGTATGAAGCCCCGTTTATACATGCTGTGATGTTGGAAGCATTCGCATTTTTGGTTCATAATTTGTTGAAAAAATGTGTGATTAGTTTCTAAGCAGAAATATGCGCACGTCTCTAGGGTGTAGCCATCGGGTAAATTCATCTCGATAGATGTCATCTCACGGCTTTCTATACTCGCATATGCATCGTGCATCACTCGTGGCTTGCTTTTGTAGACGGAATATGAATCACTTCCACCACAGGCATCTCCATTGTCGCAAGGAACATCACACAGGGATGAAGCCACTGCTGAATCTAACCTTTCAATACAGTTGCATTCTTCTCCATACTTCAAAGCGATCATATTGTTACTTTCATCTTTGCACTCCAGTGAACATTCACCCACTGAGCCAACTATAGCAACTATTTTAGTTGAGCTGATGTTTCGATAACATCCTATGTAAGATTCTTTCAAGTCGATAGCTGTATGGGCTACTGACGATAGGTTGATGGTTACAAATATTATTAGGCAAGTTATTGATGACATTACATCATTAAAATTTTGAACGGAAAAATGTTTATATTGAGTTTTGTTTTATTAATATTGTTTACGCATTGTGACGTTATAACAATAAATACATTTCTTAAGTTACTTGTTTTTAAAAGTTTTTGAAAGTTAAGCCGAAAGTTTCCTTCAGTCCAATTACAAATTTGTCCAGATGCCGCTAAACCTTACACTGTTCTAATCTCTCACGAAATTAACGTGGTACAGATGAAGAAGACTGACAGCCAACTAACTAAGCAGGTAGGTCGTCACCAGCCAGAACTGAACAACATGACGTTGACATTATCATATGTAGGTTGACAGATTTTAACGTAAAAAGCCAAATTTGGAAGTTAAAGCTGGAGAAGTTTTATAAACACGGATGTTTAAAAATAAAACTAATAAAATAAAAAATGGCGACTGCATCTCTCAAATGCCTGAAAACTTTGCTAAATTCGTGTAAATGTGGCGATTTACGATTTCAGAAATATTTATTGTTGAAAGGCTCTAATTTGGTATGCATTTTTAAAGTTTTGCTAGTTCTTCTTCAAGTAGATGTGAACATTTTTCTGATTTTCAGAAATTTTTTTCTCAGTTTGAGTTTTCAATTTTTTTTTCATAATCACTGCTATTTGTGCTGTTGTTAAGTTGTTAATAGCTGATTTTATTTTAATATTTAGAAATGTTTTGGACGATACGGATTTGATGTTCACAAACGAAGTGTCCAATTTTTAGCATCAAACATAGGTCAAGATGGAAGTTAGTGCATGTGCCATTTTAATTCAAATACTCATCTGTGATGAATATTAATTTTAGCAGTGATTATGACATTATATTTGTATTGCCACCCCAGATATTGACATTAAGTATGAGCAAGGATTGGTGAAGTTTTCAGTCTATTTACCGTCTCGACGTGAGCGTTGTCAGTTTACTTTGAAGGCTACCACTAACACCTTATACAACCTTATCCATGATATGAAACTTGAGGATAAGGGGATTGACAGAGTAGTGGCTTACAACTTAGGTTTCTTTTAAGTCTTTTTAGCTTTTGGTTATTTCATATTATTTATTTTATTTTGAAAAAAAAAATTTGATTTACTGATGTAATTTCATTGTTATTGCTGTTATTACCAATGCACTTTTACTGGCAAACACTAATCACCAGAGAATGAGCGTCTGGCCAGGAGCACTCCGCTCTATTTGATACTGCAGAACGACTTTTACATCTACATCAATGATGTCAAATTTCATTGCAAAGCACCTGCAATTGGTATCTATGTTTTTTCTTGGACTTTGTTATCATTTTGTTAAAATTTTGTTGTTGTTGTTGCTATTGCCATTATCTCTTTTCATCCTATCAACATTTATTACTGGTATCAATCATCATAATCTTTGTTATAAACATCATTTTCATCATCCTTATTACTGTTATTAGTATTGTTTTATAAACAAAACATGATAACAGCATGAACAAGAACACTAATAACGAGGATTTACACATAGATGCATATGTCATCGTACATTTTAGATGCTCTGATAAAACAGCATATGAGCGATGTATCAAATGTGAAAAACGCCATCTGCCATCTCTACAATGCTCTCAACGTCGAACAACATCAACTTGCTCAGGAAAAAAGTTTGCAGAACAAACTAGAAGAGCTACACAAAGAAATATATCCTATGGAAAGGGTTTGAAATTTTTATAAAAAATAAAAATGATTTTTGATGATGATGACAAATATTTTTAACTGCAGAAAGTGGTCACATGTATGCACACATGTACATCTCACATACACACATCTCATATTTACCCATACATACACACACATCTCATTCACACATACAAGCACACACACATATATATATAAACATCTACATACCTATATACACACTACACATATTAACATAGATGAAAACAGAAATTGACATGTCGGCCAACCGCCGAACTCGTGTCCTAACTTGGGTTGGATTAGGTCTTATGGGAATTCAATTTGGATTCCTGGCTCGGTTGACTTGGTTTGAGTACTCTTGGGATATTATGGAGCCTGTAACTTATTTCGTTGGCTACGGAACAGCTATTGCCTGCTATGCTTATTATTTACTCACTAGCCAAGTAAGCATGGAATCATTCTCGTTCAAAATTCTTCAAACTTTATTACATGATTTTTAACACATTTTTTAAATTTATTTCCGTAAAGTTATATATTTATATATTCAATCATTTAATATATTAAATATTCAATAACAATAATAATAATAGTAACATCTCTAATTCCTAATCGGCAGGAGTACATCTTACCTCAAGTTAGGGACAGAGAGTTCTTATTTTCAGTACACAGAGGTGCTAAGGCTAGACACCTGGATTTGAAAAAGTACAACCAGTTGAAAGAGGAAATAGCTCAGGTCGACTACGACCTTAGGAGGCTTAGGGACCCACTACAACTTCACTTACCCCTGCAATATCAAAAACCGCTTGCAGTCTAGCCCTAATTATTTATCAAAACGCGTCAGTGTGTGTGTGTGTGTGTGCGTGTGTGTGTGTGAGAGTGAGTGTGTGTGTTTGGGAGAGAAACTTATTGAGATACGCACGTGGTGGTTGTGGAGATGTTTGTGCCTACAAATAATTTTTTGTACAAACAACGAGTGCTACGGCTTACTTATTTATTGATGTTTGTTAATTTTTCAAAATGTTTTTTGGCTAATTTTTTTTTAGTTTTTCATTTAAGAATGATTTTTGTTCTGTCTTAATTTTATTTTTATCACTTTTCCTTTATAAATATATACGTACATGGGTGTGTTTGTCTACGTGTTACTTAGTTATTTAGATTAGAAAACAATGTTTTGATGCTAATTGGTCATTTAATAAGTTAATCATTTCATTGGCTAATTATATTGTTTAAAACCTTGATAGTTAGTCCATTTCGTTTCATTTTCACGTTCGTAGGCGAGATAATAATGTACTTTATACTGCACAGAAATTGTTCACATTCATTTTTTCATTCGTTCTTCCATTCATTTGTTCTTCATTCATTCATTCATTCGTTCATTCATTCATTCTTTCTCTCATTAATTCTTCATATTATATAACTTTTTAATACAATTTTTCGACATTGAAATTACTTTCAAGGTTTTTTCTTCTTTGTGAAATGTTTAATTGTACTTCAGAAATTAATAATGATCATTTATATATAGAAATACGCGTTTTTTACATCCGCTGTTAAGATATTTCAAGAGACATTTACACATACACACATACACACGCACACACACGTACAAAGACGTATACACACAGATATAAGTACATGTAAGCATACACACACACACACGTGTATATATACATGGAGTTTATGATTTGAATAGCGTTAGTTAGACATAATTATCAAAGAAATGCAATAAAACATTTGATTAATTTTATGTATTATGTGCGTGTGACATTACATGGTTATATATGTATATATATATATATAATCAATATATAAAAATCAATATATATATATATATATATATAAGCGTTATATTGTGTTAAACATTAAAGACATCATGTTCATAAGAAAGTTCAGTGAATCGATTGTTATTTATGAATATTTTACTATTATTATTATTATTATTATTATTACAATTCATTAATTTATCTATATCATTCTTTGTATTATTATTATTATCTTATTATTTATATTTTATATGTGTGTGTAATCTAATAATAATAATTATAACAATTGATCTATTCAACTGATTATATATTTATATATTTATATATAAGATCCCTTTTATATAATAATAATATTTTTCTCTTCATAATTTTTGATGCAAATTAAAGATATTAATCAATCATATATCAAACATAGGACCATTAATAATTATGATAATTCTAAAATTTATTTGGAAAAAAGTGAATGATTCTGTTATGTGTTTTAATGGATCTCATCGGATAACATTGATGTTAGTTTTCTTCATTAAGACATTAAGAGAAGTGTCGTCAATTAGTTCATTCATATTAATTGTATTGATCATCATTTTTTTTTCATGCTGGTATGTGTAGTATACATACTTCTAGAACAATCCGTTTAGCCAAATATAAATAATTGTGTTTTATGCCTTATATTCATTTTTCTTCATTCATCCATTCATTTTTTTTTATTCATTTATTTGGTCATCTTTCTAATTTGTGATATATATTTGTGTATGAGTGTGTGTGTGTGTGTGTGTACGAGGAAGGAGACCATGTTTTATACCAGGGGTGGGAAAACTATTTGACCTTTGAAGGGCCGCATATGTACTTAAATAGCAAGTTATTTCGACCCGGGGGAGAATTTTTTAAGATTTGTGGCAACTTTTTTGGTCATAATGTCTAGCTGACGACCTTTTTTGGCGTACAAGACCCCGCGTGCCGCATGAAATAGCTTCGCGGGCCGTAGTTTACCACCCCCCCCCCTTTATTTATACAGTGTTGTATGAATTCTACAGAATAATGCCAACAATCAACAATCCGATAGAATTCATACAATACTGTATATATATATATACACATATATATATATGCACTCATTACGTTTTTGTTGTAGTTTATTATTGATGGGTTTTTCAATTTAACATTAATTAATTGAATAATTAGTTAATTGGATAATTAATATCTATATAAATTGAACTAAATGAACGTTTATGCTTTTAGTTTTGATGGAAATATAATTCAGGTTATGGATACTGTTTAAAAAATTACGTATATCCATTATATTTTGACCAGGGCCTCCTATTCTAACATATGTTTCATGTATGTTCATTTAATGTGGATGATTATATAATGACCCAAATGCTTCCGGGTTAAGTCAAGGCCAAAGTTCAAGTAGTATAGTTCAATTTCTATACTTTGCTAAAGCCATTGCTAAAATTTTCGTAATTTTTGTTAGTTTTGAAAATTTTCTAAAGGGAAACGAAGTATAACAAAAAGGTTAAGTGATAACAGTTAACTCAAATTATTTATTATTGTTTATAATTTAAACCGTTTCGTAATTATTTCGTCATAATTATCATATAATTAGATGAATCTTAATTAACTTGGAAAGAATTTTAACAAGTAACAAGAAAAAATATTTCCTAAAGTAATCACTTCCGAATTGTGTAACTAACATGATGGTGGTGATGCTTAACATCTGGAAAGCTTTTTTTTTTAAAATAATTTCATTTTTATTTATTTGATCAAAAATTCGATTTAATATTGATGATAAAATAAAATCAGCCATTTATCATAACGAAAAAACTGGGAAAATAAATTGACAATAATATAACCAATAATAATAAACATAATAATAATCATAAAAATAATTATTATTTATAAAATCTCTCTTGATATACATAGAAAAATCAAAAAAAAAAATTGAAAAATTAGATCTACAGAGAACAAAAAATAAATGAAAAATCTCCATCCAAAAGACCAAAAAATTCTGACATGATCAGTCTAAATATTAACTGAACACGACGCTATATAAATGGCTTATTATCATTACTATTGGTGTTTCGTTATAATTATTATAACTATTATTATAACTAATGTCCTAATCAGGATATATTTATCCCTGTCCCTATTCTATCATCATCATCATTATTATCAATATACTTACAACCACTAATATATTATTATTAATTACTAATTCCTAAAACTAAACGAAAAAACATTTTAAATAATGTGAACAATAATAACAATGTTTAACATGATGTATGTTTCTATGTAAGTATATAGGTGTATGAATATGTAAGTCTTATGCATTGTCGATTGACTATTGAATCTGTTAACGTAATCTAGACTTATGATAATAATAATGATGATAAAAAACAATGAGAATAATTATAATGTTTATAATTTCAATTATAAATATATTTATTTCATTTAGGAACAACGTCACCGAACTGGAGACGAAGCTGCTCAAATAGAAGAAAAGTAATGATCGTATGCGGGCCCAGCCTCACGAATGCCGGTATGAAACCCTACAATTCGAAAATAATTTTGGTTTAAATTATTATAAATTATAATTTATTATGAATTTAAGTATTACTACTGCTATAATTGTGATTACTATGTTAATTAATATACCACAGAGACAAGCGTTGCTATTAATATTCAATCATTGTTCGTTCGTATTATAAAGATTGTGTTATTGTTGCTAATTTCAGAAAAATTATTATTTTTCTTTATCATAATAATAATAATTATTATTATTATTATCGGATATAATAATTATCCATTATAGTTGTTATAACTTTGATCAGCAAACCTTGAAAAATCCCATCGGTCCGTTCTTACCGATGTCCTTTGCGCATGCAAATATTCCCTGATGAGAAATTATACAAAAGCGAATGATCATAAAATCAGTATTTTTTTCATTAATTTACTCTTTCCATTTCTTCATTTATTCATTCACTCATTCCTTTGTTCATTCATTCACTCAATCATTCGTTCACTCATTCATTCGTTCATTCATTCACTCAATCAACCGACCGAATATGTCCCAGGTGGAGCATTCATCATTCTTGTCTTCATAACATCCAGAGGCATGGTCAACAATGTAGCCACGCCTCCCTATGAATAAATTATGTTAATTAAATAGATAAGAATACATCATTCTAATTGGATAGACAAGAAAACATTATGCTAATTAGATCAGCAACAACAAACGAAAAACGTACCGCCATGAAGCTAGCAGAGAAATGTGTTATAACGTTATCTTGGAAGAATCCCGTCCTCAATAGCATAACTTTAAATTGATCGTAGAACGATATCTGTAAAATCAACAAATCAATCAACCAATCAATCAATCAACCAATCAATCAATCAACAAGCCAACAAAATCATCACACGCAGAACAAACCACAACAATATCGTTACTACCTGCCCAATAGTAACGAAGGTGGCCCTTAAACTGGCCATAGTTGCCCCATTCATTAATTTTATGGGCCCCTCGTGTTTTATGACCTTGTACAGACCGTCTATGGCGTGTTTGTAACTGTAGGTTAGTTTGCATGTTTGTGTGTTTGTAAGTATGTACGTATGTGTAGGTAGGTATGTCTGTATATAAATATGTGTACAATGAGGACATTTTTTCCCTACTTTCTTCTGCTTTCAGGTGCCAACTTGACATCATTCTGCATTCTAAATGAATTTTGAAAAAAAAGAAACTAAATTTAAAAAGTTCAGACTACACATACAGACCTTACGCAAACATACCACACGTTAAAACATACACATCTACAATTACGCGCCGCACACCAACTTACCTGACGTTAATAAGATCAGCAGGGGTGCCGACGAGACCCCCAACACAGCCAGCAAAACCTCCGAGTAGCACCTTTTCATAGAAAGCCATTGATCGTCCGGGCACCTCCGTCTGCTTTTTCACAGTCTCGTAGATTCCAAATCGAGTTAGCGAATAGGTGAGCTGTCCAGGTGTATGTAACGTAACAAACATTGAATGAAACGGAAATTAAACACACATACACACGCGCAAAACAGACATGCACACACACACACACACACGTTCACATGCACACGCACACACCTGTCTAAGCAACGAGGCAGTTAGACCATTATAAAGACCAAATATCCCGTCGGACCTGACGACCTTGACGCCCATCTCCAACAAACCCACCTTACCCTTCTGCTGGGTCTGGAGATGAACCTGCACAGAAAATAATTATAATAAAATGAAATAAAAGTGAATGAAATAATACCATAGTTGCATAAATGAATGAATAAATATATGAATTAAGGATGAAACAATAAAAATAATAATTAAAAACAACACCACAAACAAAACCACAAACACACACAACAAGCCACAATCTGCATACCTGAAACATCCATATCTATATTTACACACACACACACACACACACACACACACACACACACACACACACACACACATCTCCATATCAGTACATAAGTGTCAAGTGGTTTTCAATTGAGGAAGCAATTGTTTCATATAAGATATAAAAAAACTTTCACTTATAAGTAATTGATACCAACACTGACCATAATTTTTTAATAATAAAACTACATAATTATGCAACTTAATAATAATATCATATATATACATACATTTGTTTAATATAAATGTAAACATTTTTTTACCATACAAAAACACACACACACACACACACACTCATAGGACCTTAAGAAGATCTAGGGGGTGTGTTATACAAGCTGCCCCAGCACTGGCCGCACCTCCAAAATACCATTTTCCTACACGTTTGGTTGTATCTTCTTTGCTTTCTGGCATTTTCTGTGGTAAAAATTATTATAATTAGTTATAATTTTTTCATAATTTAAATATGATAAAATATGTACATTTAATTTAAAATTGATGATTTAAAAAGTTAATACTAAATAATAATGAAGTTTTATAACGACATGACAGATTTATTCGAAAAATTTGATTCAGTTTGTAAGACAACTGAATCCAAAATCTATAGCAATCATTTAATTAATAATTAATTGAAAAAGAAACAAAAAGGCAGTAAAAATTTTGACTTTAGCACTTTAAGATTGTCTTATTAAATTTTAAATCAACAAATCTCTATCTTAAAATTAAAGTCCATTCCACATAAAAATTCTCTTTGATCTTTCTTAATTGTTAATGTTAAGTAAGTTAATCCCATTGCAAAATGATATTTAACAGTTAAATAGTAACTTCAAATTAACATACGTTTGAGAATATAATGAAAATTATAGTAAATTATTACTATTTTTAGTATTTTTAATCAAGAATTACTCAGTTATTGAAATGATTAAATTTTGCATAGTACTGCTACTGATAACGACCATACAATTTTATTTTACAATACAACTAAAAAGTAAAAATTTTAAATATTGACGAGAAATCACAAAAATTGTAATCAAATGTGAATCATGACAATAAGCAATTATCTATTTAGGTGATTAACAAAAATTAAGCTTCATAAAATAATTAATTAACATTGAAAATTATTAAAAATCATAAAATACCTTTAACAAAAATCTAACACGACCTTAACAAGCAAACCACGGGCACACAAAATGCGAGATGCAAATGTCAAAAAGTGCACTCAAAAAGTGAATTTTGGCTGAATAACTCATCTTTTTTTAATAAATTTTATTAAATAAAACTATTAATAATAATTTATGAATTTAATTGTTGGAGTTTTTCAAGTCTTCAAAATGCTTGCAGTTGTATGGTTTGAAAAGTTTTTGGTTAATTTACAGTTTTTGGTAAATACTTGTTTGTTTACATTTCCACGCACGAACTTTTAAACATTTAAAATTTAAAATCCAATTTAAAGTTTCAAATAACTATTTTTTCTAACTTCTGACTTCTGAAAATAATGGATAACAAATTAGGCAGAATCCAATTGAATTGCTTTTTAATACGAGAAACGTTGAACAACAACAGAGAAATCGTTAAAAAGTTTGTATTCAAAAATGCCAGCTTGTTGTTAGGCAGAAACGAATTAGGCGGCATCTTGTTATCCGTGGCCTGTGATAAATTCAACGAAACTGTTCTCCTTGAAGATTTTAACGTCCATAATAAATTTTTAAAAGATGGCAAAGCGAGCATTGTAATGAATAAAGAGAAAATCCAATACATGATATCAAACTGTCCCCCAGAGCAGCTGTTCTCATTTCTAAGAACTTTGTTCATAAAAAATGAAGCATTGAAAGAAAAAAAGCAGATGTCCCCATCTAAAAAAAAAATATTCCCCTCCTTAACACGATGCATTAGTGAAGTTAGCCCACTTACAAATAAAGATATTAATGTTTTGAATAAATTAAAATCGTTAAAGCCTCAAACGTTGATGAATGACTTGAGCAAACAAATGAAAAGAAAATGTGAAATGACACCTGACAATAAAGAAAATTTTTCTCAAAAATTATCACCTTTGTCTACTGTAAGTAAGATTATTAATAAAGACCAAGAAAGTTAATTAAATTTTTATTCATTTATTTACTTATTAGTTACATATTAAACAAATTTTAATATGAATTTTTTTATTTTAAATTAAAACTTCTAAAATATCTAATTGTCTATTTCACTAATTGAACAAACAATAAACCTTTATGATATAAAAGTATTGCTGTCATCTTTGTCCCAATTCCTCATAACACCAAAATAATTTTTATCTTCACTAAATTGATTTTATTCTAACCCAGTTAAAACCTCAAGCAAAGCGCCATCTATGTTTTAAGAAACAAGTTCCCAATATGGCAGAACCAATTAGGAAAAACCCTCCAATCACACTGACCCCGGAACAAAATAGTGTATATGAAGCTGTCATACAAGGGCATAATATTTTTTTTACTGGTAGCGCTGGAACTGGAAAATCACTAATTCTATCTAAAATTATAGGTTTGAAATTATGAACCATAATATAATTTTAATGTATAATTATAATATATTTGTAATATAAATAAATAATGAAAATAAATATCATGAGATACAAATATTTTTTCAAGGAGTGTTGCCACCAGATAACACCTTTATCACAGCCAGTACTGGCCTAGCAGCTTGCAATATAAAAGGAACTACTATACATTCTTTTGCTGGTCTGTTTGTGTTTGTTTGTTTGCTTGTGTGTTTGAGTGTTTGTTTGTGTACTTGTATGCGTGTATTCCTTCATAAATCTATCTATCCACTACTTTATTCACTTTATCTTTTTATCTGTGTTACTAGCCATCCAACAATCATATAGGCCTTTATATTTAATTATTTATCTATCATTCATCATTTGACCTATTCACCCATCAACATTTTATCCACTAATCTTTCAATCCACTAATTTCCTAATTAGGGATGGGCCTGGGAGAGAGTTCACTGGAAGAATGCGTGAAGTTGGCGTCGAGACCAGCCTACAGGACTCAGTGGAGACAGTGCAAGCATCTCATTATTGATGAAATTTCAATGTTACACGGGGAATTTTTCAATAAGTTGGAGTGTGTTGCCAGGTTGGTTGGCTGGTCGATTGATTGATTGGTTGGCTGGCTGGTTGGTCGTACGGTTGATTAAATAGTATTATTTTTAATAATAATTATAATATTAACGATAGTAATTATGACAATAATATTAATGATGATGAACATAATGGTAACAAAATTGTTCTGAATGTTAGTGGCGTTGTAAACAGAATTGATAACACTGTTATATAATCATAATAATAAAGAAATAAATTATTATTTATATTTAATAATAATATTATTATTATTATTATTACTATTATTAGACTGGTTAGAAAGTGTAGTAAAGTATTTGGGGGCATACAGTTGATTGTTTGTGGTGATTTCTTGCAATTGCCTCCTGTTACAACCAATGGGAAGTTCAGAATGTTTGCTTTTCAGGTGTGTGTGTGTGTGTGTGTGTGTGCGTGCGCATGTGTGTGTGTATGAGAGAGAGAGAGAGAGAGAGAGAGAGAGAGAGAGAGAGAATATGTTTACTGGCTTGTACGAGCCCATGTTTAAAAACAACAGTCATAAGAATCATCATTTTGCCCCAACTTGCTTGTTTATGTTAGTCTATGGGTCTCTGTTTACTTATGTGTATATGATGTTTTGTGCGTGTGTGTGCGTGCGTGTGTGTGCGTACGTGAGTGTGTATATACATATTTGTATGTTTATGTGTATGTATTTTCATTAAAAACTAACAACACAGTCTTCAGCTTGGAAGAGATGTTTCACGAAGTGCATTGTACTGAAAGAAGTTCACAGGCAGGCTGACCAACACTTCATTAACATACTCAATGAGATTAGAACCGGGCGGTGAGTGTCTCTTTCTCTCTCTCTCTCTCTCTCTCTCTCTCTCTCTCTCTCTCTCTCTCTCTCTCCTTTTTCAAGCATTTTTTTCCAATTTATTTTGTCAAAACAGGTAATCAAAAAAGAAAAACTTGTGTAGACTACCTTAACTAAATGGTGCAATTAAATTATATCATTTTAGTAACATTAAACGGACAGAAATGTTCAAAAACAAAATAACAATAAATTGATAATATAATTCAGAACAGTTTTAATTTAAAACGAAAATCGAATAAAATTAGAGTTACCTATTATCGCATCAAAAATAAAGTTAACAATTTAATATTTTAGATTTCACAACGTGTTTAAAGTTGACAATTGACATCGATTTATACGCGTTAATAGCTAGTTCATTCCACAATTTGGCGCCTCTAACCATCCAACGATGATCATTTGTGACCGTTCTACTTTTTGGTATTTTTAATAAGCCGTGTTGCCTAGTCGCAGAACTTGTAAACTGAAAAGAGTAGAGAAACTGATAATTGTCATAGTTGATTACTTTGAACAAAAAAATTAAAGTTATATATTTATTAATTTCTTCTATTGTAAGAATTTTATTTTTAGCAAATACATAACTGGTGTAATCATATTTGCTTAGGCCGAAACATATGCGCACGAAATACTTCTGTGCAATAAACACCTTATTAATCCAAAACTTAAATGTCGAGCCCCAAAATATGTTGCCGTAATTAAGGTATGGGTAAAAAAAAGAATAATACAGCATAAGTTTAGTACCACAATCCAACTTGTCACGGGCCTTATAAACAATGCCTATCACTTTATATCAAATCAAATCAAATCACTTTTATTCAATCAAACAAAACAAAAGCATGAATGATTCGGAGACCAAAAAAAGAAAATTAATTCTTGTGGGCTCGGCCACCGTGCAGCTCAAAATTGCTTCTCAATGATAAAATAAAATTGTCAATAGGAGAAAATGTATCAATGTTAATGAAATATGTACACACTTATATACATATATATACATATACATTATTATCCTTGAAAAACAGAACTTTTCGTAATTAAAAAATTTTTCAGTTTATTTTTAAAAAGATGCAAAGTGTTACAATCTTTAATTTCTTGTGGAATCGTCTCCCATATTCTTGGGCCGGTGTGTTTCAAACTCATGCAGAGTACTTTAATTCCATACTTTATATAATTTATTTAATATAAATAATATGTGATGATTCCAATTCAAATCACTTTGAATTGTGATTCCTAAGAATTTAGTTGAATAAACGCGTGGTAATGTGGTGTCGCCAATTTTTATGGAATAGTTGTCAAAAAGTTTATTGTTAGTCCTAATTTTAGGACCAAAGATCATATAACATGATTTATGTAAGTTCAATACCATATTATTTAATTTGAAGTATTTATTATATTTTTTAAGTTCTTCGTTCATTGAATTAAATAAAACTACTGGATCCTTATCAGTCAAAAATACATTGGTGTCATCCGCAAAAAGAATTGAAGTGCAATGATGGGACACCTCAAAAATGTCGTTGACAAATAAAATAAACAACAACGGCCCCAGTATCGATCCTTGGGGCACACCTGTCTGAATGGTCAATGGAGCTGACTCAATACCATCAATCGACACAAGCTGCGTACGATCACATAAATATGACGTTAGCCATCTAGAAGCAACATCTCGAAATCCGTAATTTTTCAACTTTGATAGCAAAATTTTATGATTTATAACGTCGAACGCCTTTTTCAAATCAATGAAAATACCCAATGTAAAAGATTTGGATTCAAAGCCGTTAAGTAAAGACCGGTACAACTCTGCAACTGCTCGCTCAGATGACGATTTAGGAATAAAGCCAAACTGATTTTTGTTAATAATATTAAATTTAATTAAAAATTTCCACATTCGGTTAAACATTAATTTTTCAAAAATTTTGGAAAAAACAGGTAAAATTGAGATGGGTCTATAATTTTCAAATTGGTTAGGGTCACCGCTTTTGAAGATAGGCAATACTTTGGCTGACTTCAATTTATTTGGAAATTTTCCGATTTTTATAGATTTATTAAATAATTCTGAAAGTGGAGATGCAATATAGTGGATAGTGTTTTTTATTATTTTTGTGGAGAGAGAGTTTAAGTCATAACTATTTTTTAATTTGATCTTATTAGTAATTAAAATAATTTCATCTGGAGTTGAGTCATACATCTGGAATGCAGGATAGCAAGCACTGCTTGGTGATACATAATCGGCGTTTGTAGAGCCATCAATTAATCTTTGCCCCATTTCAACAAAAAATTTATCGATGCTGTTAACAGTTTCTATTTTTTTCGTCAAATCAAGTTTCCCTTGAAGGAGATGAGATTTATTAGTACATGGTTTGACAATATTATTGATTGTATTCCATTTTTCTTTAATGGTTTTACAACTTTGGAACTTATTTTCAAAAAATTGTTTTTCTTGTGTTCTTTTAATTTTTGTAAAATGATTTCTATGCATAGTATATGTCTTTTTATTATCAGCCGTTGGATTTAATAAATATTTTTTATATAGAGTGTTTTTATGGATGGAACAGTTATATAATTTTATATTCATCCATGGCTTCCTAAAGCGGTCCCTACGACTTATCATGGGACAAGCGACGTCTATACAGTTCATATAAATTCTAAAAAAAATTATCATAATCAATATTCAAATCAATAGAGTCTTGGAGTTCAGGCAACTTTATGCCAGACAGCATACTATTGGCCTCTTGGATATTCTTTTCATCAGTTAATCTGGTATGGATTAAGGAACGTTTACTACATTTATTATTACATTTATTATTTTTATGCGGAATGCATACAAAAATAGGCATATGATCAGTGATATCCTCAAATTATACCTTTTATCAAACTACAGTTGTCATTAGTTAAGATACTGTCAATGACAGTAGAGCTTGAATCAGTAATTCTTGTAGGTTGGTTGATTAAAAAAAACAATGCAAAACCAGCCATACTATTGATAAAGTTTCGTGAATAAGCATTGTTAACTGCCAGATTTATATTAAAATCCCCCAAGATATATAGTTTGGATTTGCACGCAGGCTTTAATTTGTTGAATAAAAAGTCAGAAAGCGACAAAATAAATTCATTTATGTTGGCATCAGGTGGTTTGTAAACGCATAAGAAGTAATGCTTGTTACCATTTATATTGATTGTAATGCCCGACCATTCAAAAAAATCGGACGAGTATAAAATGCTATTGTGTAAGTTAGAATAAATAATAGTTCTGTTTATTAAAAATCCTGTTACACCACCTTTCTTATTTATTCTGTTGTTGCATACAAATATATACTCTGGAAATTGAATGTGCGTACTATTATTAATTTCATTGTTTGTAAACCACGTTTCACTCAAGGCTATAATTGCTGGTAGGATACGCATGCCATATATGAATAAAGATATATCATTTAAATGCGCGTAGCATTTATCATTTACATGTGAAGTAGCGAAACATTCACACAATCTTTCGCTACTTCACATTTTTTCCCTTTTTCTTTTCTTTCTTTCACTATCTCACTTTTTCAATCCAATTCATTCCAGGTGTTCCGTGGACTCGGAGAAATTTCTACAAAGGACCAACAGTAATGTTTTAGAGTGCCACGGCATCGTCGCAACAAAGTTATGCACGCATAAAGAAGATGTAGATAGTATCAATAAAATGCAACTCGATCAGATTAAAGGTTTTACATTCACTTGTTAGTAATATTAATGCTACTATAGCTGCTAAAACTGCTGCTGCTGCTTCTGCTGCTACTACTGCTACTGCTGCTGCTGCTTTTTTGCTGCTGCTACTACTAATACAGCCCTACTACTACTACTACTCACAAACGCAGAACCTACAAGAACATTCACAGCAGTGGACGAGCCACCAACGATGTCTTCATATATAGACAGTGTGTGCCTCGCGCCATCTATCATTCAACTCAAAATTGGGGCTCAGGTTATTATTACTAATATTATATTATTATTATTAATTATTATTATTAATCTGGTCAAATGGGGCAAAACCACAACTCCCTTGTGCCCACTGTGTAACGTTCGACAAACAAACAAGCATGTGGTGTCAAACTGTGGTTCAACATCGGCTCTGAAGAGATACACAGATAGACATAATAAAGTACTGGCGTTGATGATGGACGAGTTGAAGTTACAGGCTCCAAACGATTGCTGTTTGTTTGCAGATTTGGAAAGGGAAGGCATTTGTCCAATGTCACTCCTATTCAACACGCTACGACCAGACATTGCCATTTTGAGGGGCAACAAGATTGAAATATTGGAACTGACGATATGCCATGAAACTAATCTAATTTCATCGAAACAATATAAACAACAAAAATATAAAAATTTAAATGCATATCTAAATAAAGAATATAAAGATTGTTCTATAATAATTAATACATTTGAATTGTCGCCAATTGGTTTATGTAATAATTTTATCGATATTTAAATTTACATGGTCAATACCGTTTAACTTTAAATTAATAAACAGTGTTATCAGCTCGTCATATGGAATTTATTGTGACAGAAACATTGCCTAATGCTATTTTAAATATAACTTACACCCATGCACTTGTCATTGGCAATGAGGATGGGTGGATCGTACATTTGATAATTTTTATTCTATTGATTATTTTTATTCTATTCATTTTAACATTTTAGTTACAATTTATTATCTTAATATCTTATAGTTTCATTGTGTCGATTGGATAAATAAAATATGTTCACATTTTAGCAACTATTTTTCCTTCCTCTCTCAAAATAGGTGACCTTGACGAAGAACCTTGATATTCAAAGAGGATTAGTGAACGGTGCTAGAGGCGTGGTTATTGGCTTCCAATCTGGAATTAACGGTCATTGATGTCATATTAGTCACATTTTTACATTTCTTCCATAACAATCTTGAATTATTATTTACTGGGCTATATTTTTTATTCAAAAAGATTTATTTTTTATGGTTAATTTTCTAGGCTGTCCAATAATAAAGCTGATGACCGGCGAGAAGCTCATAATTAACTTTGATAAGTGGACAATGAAGGTTCATGGCGCTCAGAATATTAGCAGGAAACAGCTGCCTTTGAAGTTGGCCTGGGCGTTGTCCATTCACAAAAGCCAGGTTTGTTTGCTGGTTGATTGGCCGAATAATTGATTGGTGGGTTGGTTGGTCGATTGGTGGGTTGGTTGGTCGATTGGTTGGCTGGCTGGTTAATTGGCTGGTTAGTTGGCTGGTTAGTTGGCTGGTTGGTTGATTGGTTGATTAATAAAACGATAATTATTAACATCATGATAGGGTATGACATTGGATGCAGTTGAAATGTCCTTGGGCAAGGTCTTCGAATGTGGACAGGCCTATGTGGCCCTATCCAGAGCAAAAAATTTACAGGGTCTTCGAGTCATCGATTTTAATAGGAGCTGCATCAGAGCTGATTCTACTGTCTTAGATTTTTATGATAGCCTGTCGTAACTATTGCCGTTTTCATTGCGTGTGAAATTTGTATGAGTTTTTATATATTTATATGCTATATTTTGTGCGCTGGAAAAATTCTGCTGGTTTGTTATTTGGTTGTAGAGCTTGTTGATCAGACTTTAAATTTTTAAGGAGTGTGAGTACGTCTAATGTTTCTATATGTATATAGTCTATAAAATCGTGTGCTATGTCTGTATATTGTTTTTGTATTATGTCGTTTTAAGTTAGTGGGTTTTATTCAATGTTATTACGAAATAAGTTGGAAAAAGTCTTGTCACAAATTTCTTAAAGCTTTCCATACTATCGTTATGGTGAATGTTTTAACAACTTTTAAGTTTCAATTGCGACGAGTATAGTGAATGATTTATCGATTTTTCTCGTTGAAATAAAATAAGCGTTTATTATAATTTTGGTAAATTATGATTTTGTGAATTAAAGTTGTAAGTTAAATTAATTTCAAGTAAGTAATTAATTTCTAGTCTGATTCATTCAATCAAATTCAAGTCATAATCATTTTATTTAGTATTAATTTTAATTTAAAATTTTAAATGTTTTTAAAACCACAATAAAATTTTCTTGTTTTCAATTTGTAAGTTTTTTCACTGGTTGTTATTATTGAATTATTTCTAAAATGATGATTGCAAGTAAATTAATCTTAAAATTTTATTATAATCAATTAAATTTAAATAATATAAATTTTTTTTTACTCATTTCAGATTTCTTTTTCACTGCCATTCAAAATTCTATCTCCAACCAAAAGAAGTAAAGAAAAGAAAGAATAATAATGTCTTTAACTGTGAAAGTCTCCAGCACTGTCATCCCATACTCAACTGAAAACACATTTTCTCTTGACCTAACAGTGATTGCTTTAAAAGTGTGAATTCAAATTTCTTTTGTGTTATTTTTAATAAATTATTTACTTTTTATTTTATCATAATCAGATTAATCTATTCTTACTTATTGATTTAACATTTCTTTAGATCTTTTTATATTTAAAAAAATTTTAAACAGAATAAACTGGAGTTAATAACTGGGGCCAGTGTACAGTCGATGGTTCTGTCAGTTTTTGGTCAGGATGATAAACTGTTCTGTAACTTGGATAATGATGAGATGACTCTTAGAAATTATAATATTTCTAATAATATGAGAATACATGTTTGTACTTTTTTTTAAATTTAAGTGATGGTTTCAAGGATTGATAAAATTTTTCTTTGTTTATTTACATTATTAATTGTTTAAATAATTAATTTTATTTTTTTTTAAAAAAGGTGGTAGACAAATCAGGCAATCAAATACCATTGGATGATTTATCAAATGTGACGAAATTTGAGCTATCTGATGAAGAATATGCCAAGAAAAATGGTTGCCTTAACTTAAAATAATTTTATATTTAGAGCTATTTATCTAATAATAAATATATTTATTACTCTTTTGTATAGTGTTTTTACTTATTTTCTATTTATCTATTTGTTTGAATCTTTGATTTAATCTATTTATTTATCTTTCCCAAATTATGTCCTGGTTATGACATTAAACTGACCCTCACTGCCTTGTGAGTGATGTTGGATCATCAAAGGCTAGGCCCGCCGCTTATAACTGTGGTTGCGTAAGGAAGGGCGTCCTGCATAAAAATTAGCCAATAAAATATTTATGATGACATTTGGTTTCATCATAGGTAACCAAACGGCAACCCCCGATCTCGGGGAAAATGTCGTCTAAAGGTATGTTGTTTATTGTTGTATTTTTCCCAAATTAGATTCAGTTAGGGCCTTCAAGCAAAACATGAAATTTGGTAGATTTGCGGAAATCAGTGAGGGAGAGAAAGCGAAGAAGGAAGAGGAAAAGAAAGAGAAGGAGAAATTGGAGAGAGATCAGGCTGAGAAAATAAAAGTTGGAGAGAGGTGTGTGTAGTTGTTAGATTAAATGATTAAGTATATTTCTATAAGACTTTGAAATATTTAAATTGAAATAAGATTTTGAATTTCAGTAAATGAGGTTATAAATTTATAAATTTTTTCTAGTAAATAACGTAATTAAATGTTTTTCAACATTTAAATTAAATTTAGTGAAACAAGTTTTCAATTTTTTTGTATTACTCATCAAAAGGTGTGAAGTCTCTGTGATTGGCCAGCCAACAAAACGTGGTACAGTAATGTACGTGGGTATGTAAAGTTATATCTATTTGCATTTTCTCAACTTTTATTTAGTATTATATCATGTCAGACTGTGTTTAAACAATTACTCTGAAAATTTTTTGGTATGATTAATTTCCATTTTTTTTTCACTTGTTAAAACTTTGTTCATCTGTATATTCTGTGTAATTTCTAGTGTTTGTACGTTATCTTTTTTAAAATGACCAAATCATTTTAATTACAGGCTTCACGGATTTCAAGCCAGGATACTGGGTGGGAATCAAGTATGACGAACCTCTTGGTAAACATGATGGAAGGTTCAGTCTAATATTTGTCTTCTGGTTTACTTCTTTTCTATCAAAAATCTACATTAGGCAGATGTAGGCATACATACATACACACATACATATGTACGTACGTACGTACATACATACATACGTACATACATACATACGTACATACATACATACGTACATACATACATACGTACATACATACATACGTACATACATACATAACAATAACATATAAAATAACACATATAGATTTGAACAAAGGTAAGCCAACCAAAACTTTTCTCATTTCATATTTATATATAAATGTGTTATATACCGTGCATATCTCAACCAGTGTATCAGGTAAAAGATATTTTGAATGCCCAGCACCTTATGGGGCATTTGTCAAGCCGGAAACAGTGAAAACCGGGGATTTCCCAGAAATCGGATTGGATGATGAAATTTAATCTGTCTTCGTTTTTTAGATTTACCGAGATATTTTAATTATTATTGTTGCTTTGAAAATGAAATATTCAAAAATGTTTTGTCTGTATTTTATTATTATTAAACAGCACTAATATTTAAATAAATAAAATCTAGTGATCAAATTAGATAGTGATCAAATTAGAGTAAAATTTATTCGCCGTTGCCCCCTTTACTTTTCCTTTTAAAGATCTTTTTCTTATTGGTCTTCTTCTTCCTTTTCTTCTTAATCATTTCCTTCACCTCATTACTAATGAAATTTTCGTTTAAGATTGGATCCCTCTCAGGAGCCTTTGTGACCAACCTTTTTTGAACTCGTCTGAAATCGAATGTAGCGATTTAGTAGAATTAGTAACATTAATTCGGTGTAAATAATACGAATAGTAATACTGATCCAACTTGAGTTAGTATTATTTTTACGCTAATTTACTTATTTTATTCATTATTTCTGAAAAATTAGTTTTACCGAAACAACAACACACGTTTAGACGACATTTTACCCGAGATCGGGGGTTGCCGTTTGGCTACCTATGATGAAACCGAAATACCCCTCGACGCCATCCACATTTGTCACTCGCCTCAGTATCACGCAACCCCGCTTTCACCCTGTCCTTCTCCACCTGCTCTCTCCATCCCAATCGCGGACGACCCCTTCCTACCACTCCTTCAACCTCGAACTCCAACGCTCGCCTAATCCCGACCCTTTCATCCCTTCTCAACACATGTCCATACCACCGCAATCTCGATCTCCTTTTCAATGTCGCAATGTCCTCATTCAGTCCCATCATCGACATCAGCTCTGTACTACTCTTCCTATCCTTCACTTTAACCCCACACATCATCCTCACCATAGCTCTTTCAGCCCTCTGCAGTACACTTTCTTCCTCTCTCCTCAACACCCAAGTTTCACCACCATATACCATCGCTGCTCTCACACATGCTTTATATACCCTCCCTTTCATCTTCACTGACCATTTCTTTCCACACAATACCCCACCCAGTTCCCTAAATTTCATCCATCCCACACGAACTCTAGCCGTAACTGCGCTCAAACATCCTCCATCTGCGTTCAGCTTATCCCCTAAGTAAACAAAGCTTTCCACTCTTTCAATACCACCACTCAACCCTGTCCTTGAGTCCGTCCTATTAATCACACCATGAACACATTTCTTACATTTGAACGTGCCTTCCACCTTTTTCAGTGCCCCCCTCACACCACTACATCTCTTATGCACCCATTTCTGACATCCTATACACAATACCGAGTTAGCCTTCACTCTCCTGTCACATACCCCACAGGGGTCTATTTTACTTATCACTCGTTCCCCACCTTCCCCACTCACCATTACCTTCGTCTTACCAATATTAACTTGGTAGTTGGTAGTTTTACCGAACAAAAAAACGATAAATTATCAATATCCAGCAGTTTATTTTGTAGAAACAAAAACATTCGAAAGAAAGGGAAAGCTAGAAAAAAAGTACCTAGGTGGCTTCTGTATTCTCAGCATGTATTCGGGAACCTCACATCCAGCTTGTCTGATCACGTTAACGATACTAAGAAGAAAATTTTTTTCTATTTATTCGTACTGTGGTTGCATTTTCAATAGATACTTTCAAACTTTTTTTCTCTCATTTCAACAATACTTTCTCTCACTCTCCATTAAAAGTATTCATTTCAATGAATACTAATAACAAAAAAATCTTATTTTAACTAATTATTATCGGTAAACATTCAAAAATAAAAAATCCGCATTATAGTCCAGAAGCAAAGAATGAAAGAACGAAGTACAAACCTTCGAAGATAGCGAACGTCATCATCTGTGAAGAATGTAACTGCTTTACCTGGCCTACCCGCTCTACCTGTACGACCTTTCAAATTTATTTCGACGGAAATTTTATTATTAGCAATTATACCCACATTAATAATAAAATAATAATTTAAAATAATTTTAATTTCAAAAACAATTATACCCAAAATAATAATAAAATAATATAAAATAATTTCAATTTCAAAATTCATTACACGGGCATACCTACCGATTCTATGTATATAAGCAACGGCGCTAGTCGGGAAGTCGTAGTTGATGACGAGATTGACATTTTTAAAGTCCAACCCCCTGGCCATGACGTCAGAACAGATGAGGATGTGTACGCTTCCGTTTAGAAAATTTTTCATTATGCCATCTCTCTGCAGAGTCGAAAAACTTATTTATTAATTAACTAACTAATTAGTTAATTAACTTTTAGATTAGATTAACGTTTAGATTTAGATTAATTAACTAATTAATTAGTTAACAGGTATTTATGAAAGTGCTTATCAAATTTCCGACACATATTTCAAAACATTTAGATCTAACTTATTAGATCTAAATCTAATAAGAAGTCATCAACACGGACACAACAACAACAATAATAATAATAATGATACTTGGACGTCAGATTTATCTGAATGAATGGCTTGCACATTCATTCCATCTCCAAGAAGTTCTACGAACAACTCATCGGCTCGCTGCTTCGATTGGACAAAAACCAACACAGGAGGCTGATATTCCTGAATGTTTATAAATAGAATGTATTTTAAGAGGTGGCGGGAATTCAGAAGTGTTTAAAAATAGAACGTAGTTTGAGAAGCAGGTATTTTAAAATTTGTATAAAAAGTGTATAGTGTACTTTGAAAATATTCCTCAGTGCGTATATCTTCCCATCTTCACTGCCAGTATACACCAAATGTTGATCAACTGTGTCAGTAGCTGCATTTCTAAAATTATTATTTAATTAATTATTTAATTTATCAACTATTTAACTAATGATTTATTAAATAGAGTGATTGTTTATTAATTATAAAAATGATAGTCTGTTGAAATAGTATTCGGTAGTCCGGTTTAAATGCAGAAGGACTCTAGCCTCATTTGCATACCATGTATTTATTATACTAGCCATTAATTACAATTTCTAAAATTACTAATCACTAATCTCACTAGTCCCTTATTACTAATTGTGATAGTGAAATGATTAGAAGTGGTGGGCTACGCTCTGGTTGTTTTGTCGTGAGTTAACCGAGTTTGAATGCAGACCTAGCAGTCTATCACATGACAAAAAGTCCATCAAACTAACTAAGCATTGTTTTTTTTATATTAGTAATTATTAATTTTTAAATTACTAAACCAATTACATAGTGTTACTAACATATTTCCAATATAGATTCTCAATAGATTGTCCAAATTTAACTGGCACCACAGTTCAACTTCTTTTGAGAAGGTAGCACTGAACAGTAATGTCCTTAAAGCAGAGCTCTGGCAAGCCTTGTAGATATTTCCCAACTGTTTAAATTGTGGTGGTTATTTAGTTGGATGGTTGATTGATTGATTATTTAACTGATTGATAAAGTGACTGATTGGTGAGTTTGTTGATAAATCAATTGATTGATTGACTTATTAAATACATTCTGGACTTGATTGTTGAATAAATGATCGACTTATTGAATGATTAAAATGAAATGATTAAGGTAAAATGATGAGAGTGAAATTAATGAGACTGAAATTATTAAAATAGTAGTGATATGAAACCTGTTGTCTAAAGCCCATATCACCATCTTCGTATAACTTGTCTGACTCGTCTACAACTAACCATTCAACACTGAAAAACGAAGACAAAATCAGTTTATTTTGGAAAATTTCATAAAAATTTTATTTTGGATAATTTGATCTCAGAAAATTCATTTCCTAAGCGAAAAAACTCAAAATATTGGTTGCTAGATCAATAAATCAGAGAAATAACAAACAAACGAAAAACGAAACATTTTATAAAAAAATTCACTCTACAATTTTCATTTGATAGTGAGGTGATAGTATTTCTCAATAACTTGATACACAAAATGCAATAAATATATGTAAAAAAACCTCTTAAGAGAAAGTTCACTCCTAAATTTCTTCAAAACATAAACAAATTTTTTCGGCGTTGTGATAACCATATCTGTATGTAGCAGGATTGCACATGGATTGTTAAATTTTTGGAATGTAATAACGAAAAACAATACACTAACACTTAAACTAAGAATGAATTTTTACAAAAAATAAATGAAAAAAACTAAACTTCCCCACAATGAAATAACCTGCATTCATCCATTTCTTTCTATTTTCCACTGTTTTTGAACTTAGGAGGTACCTAACTTTCAATGAAGACCCCTTGCTAACCTGCACAATTTCTGACTGAATCTAACCAGCGAAAAAATATATTACTATATTAAATCAGTAATCTAATTATAATTAATTAATTAGTTAATTAATAAGAATTAACCATCAGACAAACAAAAAATAGAAAAAAATGATGTCTATAAAAAACAAAAAGCAGTAACATTATTTAATGTGACAATTTATAGACATTAATATGAATGGACAACATTGAACATAAAATAATGAATTGAATTAATAAATAAATAGATAAGAGAAAAAAAGATAGATAGAAAGATAGATAGATAGATAGATAGACAGATATGGATGGATGAATAAAAACCCCAAATAAAAATAAATAAAAACCCCAAATTTCTTTGTACCTGTTTCGCTAATTCTCTAGTTGGAGCCAAAATGAGAGCTCTGAAGCCGCCAGTTTTGTGCTCACCTAATTTATGTAAAATAGGCAGACCAAATGCTAAAGTCTTACCTGATCCAGTAGGAGCACAGACCATTACTTCTCGTTTCTGCGAAGGCATGTGAACAAAGAAAAAAATCTTAATCACAGTTTGAAAGTGTAACCAACAATAAAAACTGTCTACAGCTAATAGTTGAATCACAATCCTTTTGTTGTTTTGTAAAAATATAAAAATCTATTCTGCAGTATTTCTGTTTGCCATTATAAATGTATGTATGATTTTAAATTATTAAAAATTGAAAAAAAACTTGCATGCAAGATGGCAGTGATAGCCTGCATTTGTACTGGGGTAGGGACTTTAAAACCCATATTAGTTAAATTTTCCATATAATTCTTGTCTATTTGATAACTTTTAAATAGCTGATCAAAAGATTCTATCGGATCAGGCATGTCTGTGCCATATACATGTATGTGCTTTTCGTTTCTGAAGTGATTGACCTGTGGAGGCAGGTGTTTATGATTAGGCAGTGATGAAAAATATAACAGATTAATTAATTTTAATTATCCAAATTAAAAAACTAAATAATAATATTAAGAAATTAGTTGAATATGACTAAAATGTAAATGTTAAATCCAGTTATTAAATATGTCATAAAATGATTAAAACAAATTTTAAATTTAAGTTTATTAGAAAATTATCAAACCAATCAAACACTCAATTGACAGTCAGTTAATTAGTTAATTAATTAATTAATCAATTAGTTAGCTAATTTAACAAAACCTTATCTCGATGTATTTGGGCTAGTTTCTCATCAGACAGTGGCACTTTTTGCTTTTTACAATTTTGACTGAAAAATGTCACATCATAGTCAATTTTTCGTCTTTTTGGCTCCAAACCATTTTGTCCAACTTTATCTAAAAGTGAAATTAAATTGCAAAATCATAAAAATCAATTATTTAGTTAATTATATTGAAAAAAAACAATAAATTATATTTAGAAAATAATTTTATTACCTTCAACTTTGCGTTTTTTGTCATTATCCCCGTGGGCAACTTGTTGAAGAGGAGGTTTAACTTTGTTATCTGACACTTCAGGCTAGAAAAAGGTTAGAAGTGAGGCGGTTTCTCAAAGATCGAATAAAAAATCTAACAAAAAAAAACTAAAAAAAGCAAAACGCACCGTAATTCTGTTTCCATTTTTGTCGGCCTTTTTGACATTTAATCCAAAGAACAACTTTTTTTTCAAAACGTGCGACATGGTATACGTGAAGTTGCCGAAATAAACAGAACGGTGATAAAAGTAAACTTTAGTTATAATGACCATAGAAAGATAAGGATTAGAATTACTATAAATACGAACGCATCATTATACATATAAATAATATAATATTATTCTAGTTATGTGCATAATACACCCCACACGTGTATAAATGTTCGCGTTTGTATGCGTAACTGAAAAACTGAAACTACAAAGAATGAAGCAAAAATTGTATTAAATATAAAAGCAAATATAGAAAAAAAACTCCAAAACCTTTGGAAAGGCAAAATATAAAATAAATGTCACTAAATTTATAGGTATACAATGTAAAAATACATGTGATTGTATATAAGAACTTTGTTGTATTTTCTGCAATTAAATTAGTACAGTAATTATCCATATTATTTGCATTTATTAATATAAAAGTATATGTATCTACCATCTTGTATATATATATATATATATATATATATATATATAACATATAAATCTACCATCGTATTACACAAAATAAAAAGCAACACACACACATATATAGGAAATATATATATATATAATTACATACATACACACATACATATAAGGCACAGTAAAATAATGACAAAAAGTCAAAGTATTAATATAAAAAAATATAATCTCTATTAATAAAACACCGTCAATCATAAAAGAATTAAAATTAATTTCATTGGAATGATGATCGATATCGATAAACTACTTACCTATGTACAACAATGATAAAAAGCATTGGAATCATGGGCGTCATTTGCCAGAGGACAGACCCCAAAAAAGAAAAAGGTTGAGAAATTATTGAAGGATTCTGTGTGGAATATAGAAATAAAGTGGACTGCCCACTCCTTTCATCATATCTGAAAAATAAGGACACATTAACCTTCCTATTTCGAAACAAAATGACGCCCAAAAAATTATAAGAATCAGTATTTTACCATTACTGCTGTTATTGTTATTATTATTTATTATTACTATTATTGTTATTAATGTTGTTCTAATTGGTGTTATATTGTTAAGGTTCACCAATCTCAACAGTTAAATTTTCAACAAGAAAATTTCATTAACGTTTGTAAGAAAAAAGATTATTATTATTTAACAATAATAATAAAAGTAATAATAATAGATTAAATTGAAATCAATAATAAAAAAAACAACAAACGATATATATGTATTATATATATATATATATATATATACATATATATATATATATATATATATATACACACATACATACATATATATATATGTGTATATAACTCAGTCACAGACTTAACAATTTCGTAACAAACTTTGTAGCAATTTGTGTGTGTGTGTGTGTGTGGTGTGTGTGTGCGTGTGTGTGGTGTGTGTGTGAGTGAAGTGTGTAAGTTTGTCAATATCTAAAATGAAATGTTTCTTCCCTGATATTAAAAAAAATTTTATTTAATTTTATTTTTTTTTTAAATTTAGAATCATATTAACTTTTTTTGATTTTATCTATGTTTTTTCATTTTTCTTTATTCAATATTCATAAATTATTTTTTCTTAGCTCCGAAAAGACTCCTTCTCTTTGGTTCGTCCCTTTTGTCGTCCAGATTTGCCGGAAGTGTCATGAAGCCGGAAGCCGAGCTGGGAGTTGCTTTGTCGAAATTTTTGTGCTTGTTCAGCATGGTGATCCATAAATTCATTTCGGCCTGATAGATTACAAATAGGATTTTGAATGAGGTAATATTATTTGAATGAGTGAACGAACGAACGAGTGAACGAACGAAAGAACAAATGAATGAATGAATGAATGAATGAATGAGTGAATGAATGAATGAATGAATGAGCGAACAAAAACGAACAAAACATAGAATGAACGAATGAGTGATCGATCAAATGAACGAATGAATGATTGATTGATCGGTCGAAATCACCTCATCTTTGCACTGGAATAAATATTCAGCTCCTGAAACATCCATTTTGAGCTTGAAGACGTTCGGTCTTTTGTGGTAGTCGGTGGCCACTTCTGCTGCTGCATTCTCATTGGCCAGGTTTAACGGAACTTCTTGCCGAAAATATTGTTTAGGCTCCTGATTTTTAATTGGTTGAGCTTGTTGATTGGTTCGTTCATAGATTGATTGAGTGATTGATTGAACGGATGGTTGATTGATTGAGCAATTGATCGTTTGTCTGATTGAGTGATAAGATGAACTAATGAATGGATGGATGGTGATTGACTAAAAACGAAGAAAAAAACCAACAGGCGATTTAGCATGTTTGACATCCTTGAAGAATGAAATCACGTTGTTGTCCAATAAAACGACGTGCACTTTTTCCCAGGCTCTGGGTGGTGATAACGATGAAAATAAATTAAGCACGCACACACGCACGCACGCACACACACGCAAACACACACACACGCACGCACCGATTAGTAGATTTCTGCAACGTGTTTTCCCAGGTGTGCTTTCTTATCAGCGGTCCTTCGAATAATATTGGGGCCGAAGTATCTAAAAATAATAATAATAATTAATAATAATTAATAATAAATATAAATAATAAATAATAACGCCGTACCAATGCCAGCAGTCGCAGCAATGGATGCATCCTTGTGTTTCTTGCTGGACGAGGAACTTCTGCCCAGCCTGAATGACGACGATTTCGTCGGTTTTTCCCCGGCTAAGTGAGTGAAAAGTAGAGCTCAGTCATTCATTAAAAAAAATATAATAAAATTAATTATAATAATAATTATATAATTAGTCAATTATTGATGAGAAAAGTTTTTTTTAAAAGCCAGTATTTGTATTAGCGATAGGATGTTTAAGTGTTGTTGAGAGTCTTGATAGGTAGCCTGCATACATTTCGACTGAGATGGAAGCGTTCCAGATGAACCCGGCGTTAGCAATGCAGGTGACATTCCAGGTGTGGAGGTGGTCGACGGTTGTTGCGGGGGCGTCGCCGGTGAAGTTGGCGCTGTGGGTGGGGTTGGTGATGATGATGATGATTGTGATGAAGAAGAAGAAAAGAAGAAGAAGAAGAAGAAGAAAAAGAAAAAAAAAGAAGAGGATGATGATGACGACGACACGACAACATAACTAACGTCTGGCCGGACTCTTCGGAGCAGTCTCAACGTCACCGCCGCCACCACCATCTTGACTTTTGACCTTTGCACTCATTTGACCTTCGCTCTCGTCTCTGATTGGCTCCTTGATCGATGGTGGACGGGCGGGCTTCTGGATTGGTTTCTGAGGTTCTCTTGAGTTTGAATAATAATAAAAGCAATTTTAGTTATTTAGTTATTATTTATTTATAAAACGAATACAATACAATTTATTATTATTATAATTTTTAAAAATTATAATGATAATAATTTACGGGGGCGGTTCCTCCCTGATGATTGGCAGGTACTCCTTCATGCACCTGTCTACGTGACTCGATTTCCGAGGCTGTGTGCTCTGCTGGGCCAATTGCTCCAGCTGAATGAATGAATGAATGGATGAATGAATGAATGAATGAATGAATGGATAGATGAATGAATGAATGAATTAATTAATTAATTAACTGAACGGACAAATGGACGAACAACAAACAAATGAATTGACAAACGAACAAACAAACAAATGAAACAGACACACACACACACGTACACGCACGCACGTACACACATACGCATACGCACGCACACACACACACAAACACGCATACAAACACACATACAAACACATACCATCGTCAGTTTTTCCAAGGCAGCGAATCTTTCCTCTTGACTCATGAGGGCCTTCTCAATTGCCTGATGCTTCTTCAACAACAACTCGTTAACATCAATGGTCTCCTGGTTGGTTATAATTTTTCAGAATTAAATAAATAACTAACTAATTTAATTACATCTAAATAAATAATTAACTAATTTAATTACGTCATCATCACTATCATTATCGTCATCAGTATAGTTATCATCATCATCATCTTCTTCTTCATCTTCATCGTCATCATCATCGTAACTAACGCCACAGTAATTGCTGACGATGTAAGGTTCTTGGGTGCTCATCCAAGATTCAGCAACGGTCGCATCGCGAGAGAATAGATAGACTTCATGTACTGTCATGATGATGATGATGACGATGATAATGATAGTAATGATGATGATGATGATGATGATGATAGTAATGATGACGACGATGATGATGATGATGACGACGACGACGATGATGGTGATGATGATGACGACGATGATGATGGTAATGATAACGATGATGATGGTGACGATGATGATAGTGATAGCATTAATGACGATGATGATCTTGATAATGATAGCCAGTAACCGAACAAACAAACAAACAGACAGACAGACAAACAAACAGACAAACAAACAAACAAACAGACAAACAAGCAAACAAGCAAACAAAAAGAAGGACCAACTCAATTGCAAGTACTGCCACCTGTCTTCCCAGTCGTCGCCCAACTTCCCCCTCTGCTGGGCCAGTTGCGATAGTTTCGCATAGATCTTTGAAACAAAAATGAATGAATGAATGAATGAATGAATGAACGAACGAACGAACGAACGAAAGAACGAACGAACGAACGAACGAACGAATGAACGAATGAATAAATTAGCATCATATTAATTTCCATTATTACTTCGTTTGAGAGCGGATGTTTCCTGTAGAATAATTCTTTCCCAAGGTTTGTGCAAATCGTGAAATTCTCATCCCTCGCGTCAAATTCCGCCTTCAAACCCATATGACTGTTTATCAACAGCTCCACGCCCGACACATCCCTGTTTTTTATTATTATTATTGTTGTTGTTATTGTTGTTGTTATTGTTGTTGTTATTGTTGTTATTTTCCTTATCGTCATTGTTTTATTACTGTTGATGTTGAGTTTTTCAGCGTTTCAATTGATTAATTAGTTTAGGCCAGCCAACTAATCAACCAACCAACCAGCAAACCAATCGACCAACCAACCAACTAATCAATCATCAATCAATCAGCCAATCAACCAACCAACCAACTAATCAATCAATCAATCAGCCAATCAGCCAACCAACCAACCTTGGTTTATCAGTAACGTAGATCTGTCTTTGCATATCACTAACCCACACCAGCAAATCTTTGGCCATTATAAAAAACTTGTTGGCGTCGAACGTATTGCTCAGTTGCAGCTTTCGAGTCTCTAGTTGCTGGTGCAGCAACTTCCAGGCCCCTACTACCTCTTGTTCTTTGGTTTGAATTTCGCGGGCTTTGTCGCCCGAGTAGCAAACGATTAGTTTGGAAGCATTTTCTTGTACTTCTTGAACCTGTATTTGTGTGTGTGTTTGTTTGTCTGTCTGTCTGTATATGTGTATGTGTGTGTGTTTGTGGGTAGATGTGTGTGTGTTTGTTTGTGTGTGTGTAGGTTATTATTATTATTATTACTATAGTCATCATTGTTGAACCTGATTCCCAAGTAGCACTAATCCGTTCTCGTAACTGTTGAACCTCCTCTGCAAGGCTGTTATCGACTGCGGACTGCTACCTAGGTCTTCATCGTTTGGTATTAACAACTTCTTTGCCTGTGTGCGTGCGTGTGTTTGTGCGTGTGTACGAGTGTACGTGCGTGCGTGTGTGTGTGTGTGTGTGCGTATGTGTGCGTGCGTACGTGCATATGTGTGCGTGCGTGTTTTTGTTGAGTGTGTGTGGGTGTTGTATATATGTGTATGCCTGCTATTTATTGTCGTCTGCCGTTACATTGTTGCTTGTGTCTGGTTAACGCTGTTCATGTTCAAATCTTCACTAAGATCTCCATGCAAACACGAAAAACGACAGAAAGAGAGAAAAGAGAGAAAGAGTGAGAGAAAGAGAAAAAAACAAGGAAGCGAACTAACATGAATCCTCTCCAGTAAATCATTACTATCGTTGAAGAACTTGAAGAACTCAAAAGAAGCAAAGAGCGCCTGATTCCTCGTCTCCATCAGCTCTAGCAGATCGGTCCACAGCTCGTTTATCCCATCCTTCCACTCGGCTATAGTCGGCGCATCGCCGCTGCCACGTTCGATTAGTCGGTCGCAGATATCGTTCACGGCTGATACCCGGTCCAAACCGACTGCTTCGGTGTCGGTTGTGAACTTCTTGAAACGCTCTCTTAACAGCTGTAAAGTTGGTTGGTTGGTTTGGTTGGTTGGTTGGTTTGGTTGGTTGGTTGGTTTGGTTGGTTTGGTTTGGTTGGTTGGTTGGTTGGTTGGCTGGGTTAGGGTTATTGATTGACTGACTGAGAATGAATGAATAAACGAACGGATGAAAGAGTGAACTCACGCAAACGTGTTCAAAATCTTGTCCGAAATCACTGGAAGATGCGACAACCTGCCGAGAAGAAATTATTTATGACAATAATAATAATAACAATACAACAATAACAATAATAATATTAATAATAAATAATAATAATAACAACCTCTTTTTCAGCAATCCACTGTTCTAGGTCATCAATTTCGAAATGCAGTTTGTAGAGTTTGATGAACTCGTTCAGCCGATTCTTCTTCTCAGATGCCAAATCTTTCAGGTTCTGGTATGTCACTTCGAGCTTTCGCTGCTTCAACTTTATTTGTTCTCTAGAGTTAATTAATTAATTAATTAATTAATTGAGTAAATAATTAATTATTCAATTAATTAACTAACTAACTAATTAATCAAGTAACTAACTGTCCAACCAATTAATTGAGCATAAATTGTTAAAATAAAAATGTTTAGAATTCGAGTAACTTTAAAGCAGGGTCTGTCAACGTGCTAAAACGCCATGGCAATAGCATCACTAACACATTACAAAATCAAAATCCAAACCAAAACCAACTAAACTAACGTATATTCCGGAAGAGTTCCGTATAACTTTTCAGCTTGGACGCCCAGCTGTTTAACCTGGCCGTCAAAATCCTCTATGACCTTTTCTCTGTCGGAATTTTTTTTCAAAACGTTCTCAGTTGCCAGTTCATCCTTTGGTTTCTCGTCTGCCATTAGGTAAAGCTCTTGTTCTCCGATCCAGGCTTCTGCATCGTCCACATCAAAAAGGTACTGGTGGGTATTAAAGTGCATTTTTGCGTGCGGATGTTGTATCGTATGATTTACTTGATGAACATTGTTAAGGTTGTGATGTCGATGTGGTGTATTTGTACTGTAATTTTACGCATATATATATCGTACAGTAGTGTATTTTGTTGTAAACTATTTAGTGTTTAAAATTGTGTGGTGTGAATTTTGAATTTGTATGGATTTCGGGATGAATTGTTGATTATGGAGTGAGTGAATTATGAATCAGTTAGATATTAATTTATTTAATCAAACGATCAACCAATTAATGAATTAATTAACTATCCAATCAAACAATCAATCAATCAAACAACCAATCGACCGACCGATCAATCAACCAATTAATCAATAACCCAACCAGCCAACCTACCTGTAAAAGATCTTGATTATTTTTCAATCTCGTCCTGGCGCCATCAACAGCCCCCTTCAGAACATTCCATCTGCCCGCCAAGTAGTTCACAATATCGTTATAATGGGCCGCGTTCTCTGGGTCAACCTCCATCAATTCGTGGCCCTCGTCGCATACCCCTTCGAAACTTTTGGAGAAAACATTGAGATAAAATTATTTTAAATATAATTGGATTAAATTATTATCAGTTAAGGATCCAAGCAATTAGTTAATTTACTAATAGCAGACCAATCAACTAATCTAGGACTAAATCAATCAGTCACAGTCGATCAGTCAATTAACTAATTATCCAGCCAACTAACCAACCAACCAACCAATCAGCCAACCAACCAGCCAACCAACCGTGGCTCATGATGCACAATTTCTTGTTGCATGGTCTTGTTCTTATTAAGAAGGGACTGGACGGCCGACAAATCCTTGCCAACTTCACTCTTGTTGGCTCTGTTGATTCGCTCTTCGATCCAACTCAACTCCTCGTTGGCGTCCAACTCGAACTGCCGCTTTTTCTTTACCTCGTCCAATTCCTTCAGTCGATCTGATAAGATCGGGAGGAGGGATTTGAACCTGGGAGATTGAAGGTTTGGGTTTTGGTTTGGCTGGTTGGTTGGTTGGTTGGTTGATTGGTTGGTTGGTTAGTGGTTAATTCACTGATAAAATTATTAGTTGTTTTTTGTTGTGTTTTGTGTTACCGGTGATGGTTGTTTATGTTTATGCTGTTATTGTTGATGATGATCATTCACTTATTTATTTTATCAAACAGCCAATCGACCAGTCAACCCACCAATCAATCAACCCACCAACAAACCAACCAGCCAACCAACCAATCAACCCAGCAATCAATCAACCCATCAACCAGCCAACCAGCCAACCAACCTATCTTCAATTCTCGCCTTCTTTCCTATCAGCTCCTTCTTAACGTCTGGTTCCAAATCTTTCAAAACATTTTCCTGCCTATCCAACTCTTTCAACATATGTTCTTTTATCTTTAGCTGACTTTCCAGTACCTAAAACATAAACTTGTTAATTTTTATAGCGCCTAACTCGTAACTTCGGAGTTGTTTTTAGATTCAAATTTCAACAAAAGCGCCCAATAGGCTAGAATTTCATCGAACTTCTTGAAAGTATTCAGTCTATTTTGACATCATTAAAATGACAACAAACAACAACAACAACAATAACAATAACAACAATAACAACAACAATAACAATAACTCACATTTTGCTTTTGAATGATTAGGCTAACGGGGATCGGTTTATTGAAAACCTCGTCACTCTTGATCTGTGAAACCGTCTCGTTGATCCAGCCATCAATCTCGTCACAACTCTGGCCGTACAGTACGTGCTTGTTGCTGTCAAACAATCGCTCCCCTGTTGTTAATGTTATTGTTATTATTATTATTATGCTATTATTATTGTTATTATTATTATTGTTGTTGTTGGTGTTGTTATCATTATTTGTACAATCATCTCGCATGTATCCAATCAGAGGTATCACAGTCCACATGTGATGGTCGGGGATCTCTCTGAAATCGAACCCTGAGACTTTAATGAACCATACAGGCACCGTAACCACACACCATCGCGCTACCCTTCATCAACCTCATCGTAATCGTCATAACCTTTTTTCTTCGTGAGGTCTTCCAAAGTTTCCCATTTGTCGTAAAGATCATGAATCTTTGGCTCAACAATCTGACGATGATGGCGATGATGATGGTTGTGATGATGATGATGGTGATGATGATGATGGTTGTGATGATGATGATGACGATGCTGATGATGATGATGGTTGTGATGATGATGATGACGATGCTGATGATGATGATGGTGATGGTGATGATGATGATGGTTGTGATGATGATGATGACGATGCTGATGATGATGATGGTTGTGATGATGATGATGACGATGCTGATGATGATAACGATGCTGATGATGATGACAATCAAAAGAAACTATACCACAAACCTCTTTAAGATCAGGCCTGTCAGCTATTAGCTGACTAGCCTTATTAGCTACATCAGCCAGCCGACTTTTGTTGGATTTCAGCTCTAGGACAAAAGCTTGATGGCGCATCCATTTACTGTGCGGGTTTTTAGCGTCACTGTATGATTCGTCCTGAGCTGTTAGCTTTTTCTCAGCTATCCAGTCTTCTAGCTAAAATTAGGATTGGTGGGTGATTGAATGAATAATTAAATAATCGAATGAATGAACCTAAATTGTGACTAAGTAGTATTTCTCTATTTTATTCATTCACCTAGAATGAACCATCACTTTTTGAATGAATGAATGAATGAATGAACGAATGAATGAATGAATGAATGAACGAATGAATG